CAGAAGTCTACACTGACGTCAACCACATTCCATCCCAGATCATGCTGGCCATGACATGCAACATCTCGCCGCACTTTCCCTGCACCTGGACCTCGATCTCATACCAGTTTTAACGCCCAAACGTAGCTACACGATGTCCAGGTCATCGAGGCCACCAGAACACCCAACAACCCTTCCCCTCCCCTCGACAGTCGACCTGAACCTCCCGGTAGAACTCCTGCTGACCCTCAAGCCCCTCATTCCTCTAACTCTCAAACTCTGCGCCTACTGCCTCACCTACCGTCCCACCGACCCCAGTTACTGGCACAGCATTGCCGGCTACGAACGCTACGACTTCTAGATCGGCATCAGCAAAGCCTCCATTGACGGTAGCAAAGATTTCCTTCATGTCTCTGATGTGTGCGTCCTTCGCAGGCAGATCAAGCTTAATATTTGTCCTGCTTGTCATACAAGTTGTCAGATGTTGCCGCGTGGGAATAGGTGGGTGGGGTGTGCGGAGTGTGGGTAATGACAACGGTTGGGAAGCAGGTAAGGAGAAGGTGGAAGGGGAGAGTGGAAGAAGGAGAAGAGAAGGAGGAGAGGCTAAACTGTTGTGGTGGTTAAAGGAAAGAGAGGGGAGGTTGATCTAGGTGCCTCGGTGATCCAAGGAATAACTAGCAAATCTGCAAAGGATACAGGAGTGGTCTTATTTCTTCCCCCACTTTTGCATTCCGATAATCTGTGGGAGGTATTTTCTGGCTATCCCTTCTTAACAGGGTTTGTGACCGAAGAACATACGGAAACAACCAGGCTGCTGGGGTTGAGACTCAAGGGGCCTTGGTAGTGACTTCGCCAGCGTCCTTCTTTGTTGCCATGATGCCCGTATACTTGAAACGACTTATCATCTACATCAGGCTCCGGCCAAGGAGGGAGCTAAGCATCATCTCTCCGTAGAAGATGGTAAATATAGTCTACTATACGAGTAGGCATTGCCTGACTCGGAGGCTGAGTTCCCTAGTCGCAGCTGGGATGTGCCAAGCCATGATAAGCTTGGCGTTATCTTCCCACTTACGTACTACGTAATTAGTAACTTAGTACCACCTACCAGTGCCCCCTTTGCCCGTGCAACTTGAATGGGAAAAGTTTTCATCCATCCCACTCACTGCTCGTCATTGGAGTCATCTCCATCGGTCAGCATTGCAAATCATGAACCCTGGCAAGCAACATCAATCCTCTTGCTCCACTACTAGTATGGTATGTCTTCCCCCCTGTCATTTCCCTATCATATCTTTCACCTGCGCGACCTCCTCGCTGGTGGCATATTCATCAAACATCTTCCCCAGATTTTTGAACCCAGCCACTTCAACCTTCAACATGATGATACCCCTGATTGCTGATTCAAATAAACCTTTGTCTTTGAGACATCAACCGCTGAAACAACGGGACCGGTGTCGATGCAATCACTCTTTTTTCTTTCCCCTTCTGAAGAAGTTTGTTGGCTGGTCGTTGCTTAAATATTGTTCTGGTCGTTCGCATCTTGGTTTGAAGCTATGCTGACTTGACGGTACGGGTCTGGAAGATGACTCTCCATTAACGTTAGGGATATCGCGGATACTGTTGTATCGTCCAGAACGGGGAGTGGGTTTAGAATGGTTGCACAGCTTTGTTGGGGTTAAGTGCTAAGAGCCATGTTGCAGGCTCTTGATTGAACTGTTTCTTTACGTTCTGTGAGAATGTCGGTGGTGATGAGTATGGGTAGTGGTTTAAATTGAAATGTTCAAATTTTCGTTGCAACGTTACTTCTTCCCCAGCTCATCATCACTACTAGTCACGTTGTTGGTGTCGCTGTAATGCTTCAAAACCACCCACCACGTCACCGATCCATCGATTCCTTCTCCTGTTCCCTGTCTTGTCCTGCTCAATCGAATCCAGAAACTTCTGGGCTGCAATCTGCGAATCGTTGCCTCGTTGACAGAGGAAATAGATGGGCCTGTCCTCCTCCGCCGCCTCTCCTTCTGGTAGCCTCAACCCTAGAAGGTCTTCCATGCTTCCATCCTGATCGTCCACCAGGCCATAACCGGATCTCAATATCCTCGAGATGGGAATATGAATGCTGTTCCTAACCTTAGCACCCAATTCATACTCCACCTCCTCCCTCACATCAACCACCACCGGCCTCTTCCCTTCAAGACCCCCATCACCACCACCTCCCTCCCCATCTAGCCTCATCCTCTCCGCAAACTCCCCAGCACTAACCCTCCTCCCTCCCTCCAACACCCTCACATCCTCCACCCTCCCACAGAACGCCCCATAATCCACCTCTCCATTCACAATGCCCTCCCTCGTAATCTTCCGTCTCCCCGCCCGCAGTCCATCCAACACCTCCTCTTCACCACAAACCAAACAATCCCTCCTCGGCCCCTTTCTCAGGCCCACATTCCGAAACATGCCCCTCGGATCCTGACTCAACGCATTGTAAAGCAAGAGGGTAGGTCTCCAGGCATCCTGTTCCTCCCTCGCGGCGGCCGCCGTGAGATTATTTGCAGCCGAAGCGCCCGCGGTGGTAGTAGCAGTATCAGTGAGGATCTTAAGCACCTCCATCGCCATCAACGTACCAATCACACCAACAACGGGACCCAGGATGCCGATCTCGGAGCACGACTGCACCGTCTCCGGTGCGGGCGGGTGGGGGAAGATGCAGCGGTAGCAGGGTCCTCTCTCGCTCATTTTACCATTCTCATCACTGTCCTTGGTCGAGGCATCCCGAACATCGGAGACGTGCCCTGGAGGAGGAGGATAACACAGCCTCATCAGCTGGCCCTCCGCCCTCTGCGCCGCCCCGCTGACCAACACCCGCCCCGTCACCACACACGCATCGCTGATCAGATAGCGCGTCGCCGGATTATCCGTGCAATCCAACACGATATCGTACCCGTTCTCCACCACCCCGCTATCCTCCGACCGTCCAAGCACATTCGCCTCGAGAGCCCCCTCCACGATCCCCACCCCCGTGGCCGCCTC